AAAGAGCATGTTTCCCTCCCTGAGTTTGGCCTTCATAATTCCATTCCATCACAACTATTCCATGAATGACATTTAAGAATCCTATAGTGCATACCTAACCTCTGAATATTAGCCTGCACAAACAAATATATAATCCAAAACAGTTCTTGCAAATCTCTCATTTCTTTCCATTAGGTATTATAAGGGAAGAATTACCTAGGCAAAATTAAATAATAACCATATATGAGAAATTCTTCAGAAGAAATATTTGAATGGTATTGGTCCAACATTTATTAGGAAGCTATTACAAGATTTCTCTGTTTATTTAAAATACTAATGTACATACTTTAATGCCAGCTTACTAGGTGCTATATGAAATGTAAATCATTTTGAGGATATGATACAGGACATAAAATAATTAAGGTAAATACAACCATAATAAATGCTTAAAATACTTACTTTCAGCATTGGACAAAGTGCAAGGATTGCAGTCAACCAAAGCTAACTGAAAATGCTACAAAAGGAAGCAAAATAATTAACATTTTTCCTAATGAAAACTAACAGTTTTTGAAAAATACTTCAAAATATTTGAAACCTATTTTCATTCTAATTGCTCGATGAATCAAAATCCTTTGATAACATGATCATTAACACACACATTAAATAACAGAATTGTGAACTGAAAGCCAATTAAAATTTTAAAAATATAAACAATCTTGCAAAGAATTCTAATTTCTAAACAAACAACTGATATAGTACTGATATTAACAGAGGAATGATACATTATTTTATAAACCTTCACTCCCATCAAACACATGAAGCATAATCACATAAGTATTTTAAATAAATCATGTAACATAGTGATCAAGGTAATCAAATAAAAATTCAAAGTAGGTATACTAAATAGTATTATACTAAATGGATCATAAAATCTGCTGTAGTTATAGCAATCTAAACAAACAAATATGTTTATATAAAACACAAATTGTGCATACATATACAAACAAATCTTACAAAAACAATGTTGATTATCCACAAGTTACTCTTGTTTGCCCTTTCCAAAAATTCAAGAATCATAAAGCTGCAATGTATTTTGAAATGCTCCTCTTATAGCTATTGAAGCATAAATATATTTTTGAAAACTCTACTGCAAAGAAAATACCACCAGGCATTTTTTTCATAACAGGAATTATGTTCACTTGTTATTTAAATAACAGAGTACCTTCCCCCCATGTCAATACCAGAACATGCAGATATATAACCAAAAATAATAAAGCAATATATTATATAGTTACTTCTAATTATTAAAGTTCACCCATGAAGAAACCTACGAATTTAGAACAATCCACTAAATTGAACAATTAACCAAAGTTCATTCTGAGAAATATTTTAAAAAATGAAAAACACATAGAACAAAACGTATTTACCACAAGATAAACTATTATCTTCACCACTATGAACTACAAACACATCACATTAAATATCCAACTGTAAATCTCTGCAGCAAACCAAAACTAGTGAATATTTGCATCTCATACAAATATTGCAGCACTGAAGCTGGGTGCTGCTGTATGAAATAGTTATTATGCAGGAGAGGCCACTGCAGTTCAGATACCACATAATATCTCAAGACAGAAATCCATCTACAGAAATTCAAATCATAAGTAAGAAGATTGTCTAAAAGTAACTAATCAGATTGTTAAAGTTTGCAATAAACGTAACAGATGTAATCTTTGCAAATAATTAAAAGTATTGTACTTGGCAACTATAAATTATTAACTGTATTATATACAAACAATAGTTTTCTTCATCACTACACATTTGAAAACTAGAATGATCTATTTCTTAGTTTTGTCAATATTTTTACAAAGTTATTTCATGGTGCCAAGTCAAAATAACACTAGAACTAGGTTTTTTAAAAATCAAAGGAAAAAATCAGGTTTTTTAGATAATGAATGCTATGATGTTCTGGAATTGGAAGTTTATATTCTTTGCTACTAAACTGATTGAGTAACAGGTCAATCAAAAAGTCAATATTAAAAACTTAATAATTTCTACATGTGATTACCACAGCTAGAAAATCATACCTGAGTTCAACTCTTTGAGATGGATAACTCTTATAATCTATGAATGAAGCCTGATCCTGGGAGCTGTATTTTGTTCATATAATTAGGACACAGAAAGCCTTGTGTAATCAAAATGCTGTCAAACAGGCAGAGATATATCTGACAAGCAAGGTTAAGAATGAGGATGCACACACGTGCTGCTAAATCAACTCATTTGCTTGTTCTCTAGAACCCTTCAAAATCAGAATCTATTCTTTTAAAGAAAGGAGGTTAAGAAGTAAGCAATTTATTTCACTGTAAGGCTGCATAATCAAAACAGAGGAATCAACAGTATAAGCAGGACAAAGACAAAGCATTTCATTTGCATAAAATGAATATAGAAGGTCTGGTCTAAGGTCACATGCTTAGACCAATTCTTTTCCCATATGGCAATATTCCATGCCTAAAATAATCATACTGTATTAATTTCAAGTTTATTTCAAAACAGTTTATTTCAAAACAGGTTGTTAAAAGTTCTTTGGAAAACTCCAATAAAAAGTTATTGGGGCAAGGTTCTAAGTGAAAAAAAGTTCCTAGATTGCTCTAACTTCGACTGTACTTTTCTTCAACTTTTTATTCACACACTTGCCTCTATAATTCTCTTTCCCCCTTCAAAAGTGCTTTATTACTTTATAATCCAACTCATTATGAACAATGTCCTTTAATCCCTTGATGTCACTCTGCACTATGAAGTGTAAGGGTTTCTGATTTTGTATATAGCTGCCAATAGAAGGAACACTGACAATGTCATAAATCACTCAGTTTGCATGCTAATAGTAATTGTCCAAATGGATAACTATAGCCTCACTCTGACAGCAATTTGTGAAATAGTCTTTAAACCACAAGAATATTCTACCAAGTCCAAAGAGTTTTGTGCCAGTGAGCAATGAACAGACCTTCTCAATCTTATTTTGAACTATTTGTGAATGGTAAGAGAATTGAGAGAGAGAAAGAAAAAAAAGGGGGGGGGGAGTTGTGATGAATGTTTATGATTGAGGCATGGACATCAGCAAGACTATTACTCTACAATGGCTAGGCCAGAACAATGCACTCACAGCCCTCAGAGAAGGCACTCTGCTTGCACAATTCTCTATATAAAACCGCAAAGATATCACAGATAGGATGAGTACAATCAGAACCCAAGATTGTGTTTTAATAAGGAGGAAAGAATCCCGTTTACTTTCAAAAGATTTCATTAACTGCGTACATTCAACATTCTTTTAAAAGACTTGCCAATTTCAATAATTACTATCCCATACAATCCATGCTATATAATTTTGGATAGTGTGCTTGAAAATTAATCAAGGCTTGTCTTTAGCTCATCAAAAAAGTTTTTACCAGATATCCTTCTTCATACATTCAGACCATTTATATTTTCCTAAGTATGAAGATATTCTATATATTTTTCTTCAAGTTAAAAAGAACACACACAAAATAATTTACTTAGCTCCATTCAGTCATTATCTGGTCCCTATCATTCTGCATGTGATGGGGACTAGACTTGCAAACACTCCTGAATCCTCTCTGGATAGTGAAATAGAAAGAAATGAACGAAGGTTTCAATTATTTCAATCCAGGATTTACATGAAGCTGCAAGATCCAATAATCTAATAAACAGCTTCCAATATCATCTGCGATAGAATTTTATGGGCAAAAACATCAGTTATATGAGATGGGTGGCCTATAAATTCATTCGTTCATTCAATAAAAAGAAAAGAAATTCATATTTCTATTACAGTAATAGTTAAGAGTTATAAGAAACAAATCCACTGTTATAAAAAATGTAAGCTCTTACCTTAAAACTAGACTCAAAATCTGTCTTCACTTTGAACATAAGCCCAAGTCGTAAATGAATTTCCTTGGCGCGGCAAAAACTGGGATCAACATAAAGCACTTCCCGAAATGCTTTAATTGCCCTAGAAAAAAAAGAATGCACATTGAAATGTTCTGTGAAAAACAACAGAAAATTTCTTTAAAAGAAAATTATCCAGGAAAAATGCCCACATTAAATGAAGAATGAATCAGTTTGGTGTAGTGGTTAAAGGCAGAGAGCTAGAAACTGGGGGACCGTGAGTTCTAGTCCCACCTTAGGCACAAAGCCAGCTGAGTGACCTTGGGCCAGTCACTCTCAGCCCTAGGAAGGAGGCAATGGCAAACCACTTCTGAAAAACCTTGACAGGAAAACTGCAGGGACTAGTCCAGGCAGTCGCCAGGAATCAACATTGACTCGAAGGCACAATGAATGAATGAATGAATGAATGAATGAATGAATGAATGAATGAATGAATGAAAATATAAATAAACAAATACCTTTTAGATACTTTAAGGAAAGCAACTAAATTGTGAATGTGTAGTTTCAGATAGAGTTTTAACATTTGCTGAGTCCTGAAACCATTTTACCCTAATATTTATAACTAAATCTCAGAATAAATATCCATTAAATATACTGATTACCATCAAAAGCAGGTAAGTATTAATACTTACTTACACCTACATTTCCACAAAAAAAGTAAAACTGGTTAATACAGCAAGTTAAAGCATATTTATTTGCAATTAATTAAAAAATTAAAACCCTTATAGCACCAGAAGCATAATTCGTAAACTCTGATCAAGTAACTTCACTTCAACAGGATATTTCAACAAACCACAGATGAATTAAAATAGATCTCTGCTTCATTTGATTTATATTGAAGCACAGACATTAAATAAGAACTCTTAAAGAATCAGTGACCAAAGCCTTCAGTAAGAAAGCGTTTAATTATCATACGTGCTTTTTTCCTTATGCAGTTTAATAGTATTAAAGTTATTTATTTCATAATATTTGTAGTCAATTCCTAGAAGACTCTGACAACTAAGCAAATCTGCAATTTTGGTAATCACTCACCACTAGCTATACAATTTATTGTATACAGAGCCTTCCTACTACAACTCAAAGTAAGCCTCTCCCATCCTCCATCTCCAGCTGCTGTTTAGATTACATCTCTCAGTTTTCCTGATTATTTGTCATGCTGGCTGAATATAAGGCAAACTGTAATTAAATAATTTCTGGAAATCCTAAATTGGTAAATCAGTTTGTAAGATAATTAGTTCTTTAAAAAAACCAAAATCATATAATTTTCTCTAATATAATTGACAGCTCAGTAAAATCTCAATTTAACAACCACATTTAGTGGACTTCAGATGCCACAAATCAAATTTCTGTCTTGATATTTCCCCAAAATAACAAATAAATTCTGTTGCATTTTAAATGATCTGGATGGGACAAATTTACATTACTTTTATATTAATTCTATACCCTTCACAATGATTTACGTCATTTGAGTAATGGCATGTATATGCAGATGAAATAAATTGTTTCAAATGATTTGCATAATGATACAATTACAAAAATAAGCAAATTACTGCAAATGAGATAATTTGCAGCCATTAACCATTTGGGAATAATGGCTACGCCACCTTCAACTGGTTTTTTAAAGACGGAAGGTGAACTGTTGGACTCGCTTGGCTACCTAGCATACAATTTACCCCTTCAATAATGGCCTTCTAGAAGTTAGAGAATGCTGAATTCTTTCAGAGACTGTTTGGGATGTGGCTCTTCACCATATAATTTGTTCTTCATTATGTTTTTGTTTTTTGTTTATTATTGTTACTGTTAGTTCCAGGGGGCTTTTTAGTTGTTCTGGGCTCTGGGGTTCTGGGAGCAATGGGGGAAAAAAACTGCTTCTTGTTTTCTTTTTTATCATGGATGCTTTATAGTATTTGCTTTTCTTATTGTGAATATATTTATTGTATTTTATTTTGTTGTAATCCACAGAAGCCAGAATGATTATATAGCATACAAGTTTTATCAAATAAATAAAATATCCTAGAAAATATCTGCCAATGCTGCCATCGCTCACATGGAGTGAAGGGAGCACAGCTGTCTGGCTATCTCAGAGCAAAGTAGCAATGGCTATTACTATACATTTGGAAAAAATGCTGTGGGTGAAAGACTGACTTTTAGATGGACCTGAAAGGCCAGGAATAAATGTCCTGGCAAAATGGTGCTGTATGGTCCATATAAATAGTAAGATCATAACAGGCTCTGAAAACTGTTTCCAATGGTGTTGATGGATTGAGAAAAATGGTAAGTCCCATACAATGTCTTGATTCTAGTGGTAATCTGAGACTGTCATTCTAAGGAATGAAATGAACCAATGAAAAATGAGGAAGGGAGGATTTCTTTGTAAGACACACAACTTTCCAGTTTGATAAAAAATATGTGACAACTACAAAAAAAAGCTATCTTCCAGCAGAGGAAATAAATTGGAACAGTAGCCATGGACTCAAAGGGTTTTGACATTAATACAGATAGAACAAGTCAGTTGGAAAAGGCAGTTGTGAGAGGAACATGAGGCTGCTAGAGCTAGCATGGGGAGGCAATGGATCCCTTTATACCTCTTTTTTTATCTTGACTGGAATCAGGCAGGGCAAATCTTTTAAAAAGATTTTGCATGTGTTAATGGGGATTTCTTCAATTCCAATAATGGCATAAGAAAGACCTGAAGATCCACTGTGGGGGGTAAAAATTCACTCAATCTCTCAGAGGGAGGAGAGTCACCAAACAATTTTTAGATTATGACAGAAAGTTTGGAGGAAGACAAGTGGGCTACAGTAGAATCTGTTGCCCTTGGTGGTTGCTCTCAAAGAATAGCTTGCAAATAGGAACAAATGCAATAAGCCTGTTTAGTTTACACAAGACTATAGTGAACAACCTTCACCAAGACAACGACGACTACTACTACTACTACTAATAATAATAATAATCCCCAAACAGTTTATGCTCTTCTATAAGAACTTAGGCCATATGGCCAAAGCCTGGATGCCTGCAATGGGAGGAAAAATATTTCAGAAAAGCAAAAATGAAAAATAATCCAATAAAGCAAAATAATTTTAACCCAGGACAAAGGTGCTAATGTTTCTGTGGTCAAAAACAAATAAAAAATGCTTAAGAGGAGCCCTGCCTAAGATCTGGAAGTTCCAAATGGGTTTCTGTGCAGGTACATATCCTGTAAGGGTAAATGCAGAGACCAAACTATTGAGAAACAGGGGAAAATATTATGCAGAATTAAGGTAAGTTCTGAAATTATTTCATTGACAAAAACAAGCAAATTAATGCTTTAACATAGCAGTCTTAATTCGACACTCATTCTCATACTGCAATAATGCTAAATAAATTTACATCCTAGAGACATAAACATTTTGATCAAGAAAGAAAAACTTGTTTACCAAAAGCCCAAAACACAATCTATTGATGACTGTTTGCATGAATAAGCTTCATACTTTCTTCTAAATGTATGGTTCAATCTCAGTTACCAGAGAGAAGTGTAGTTACAGTACATGGCCTGATGCAGAAGATAATAGGCCTTTCCCTACTTGAGGGAATCTCTTTATAAATAAATCCCAACAATATTTATGAGGCAGTCAATGTAAAAAATCAGTGATCCAGAGACTTAAAAATGGTCATCAAGTCATAAAAAAAATGTTTAAAGAATGGCATTTGTGCATAAATACAGGAGAAATAATTATGAATTTTGAACTCTCAAGAGAAAGTTCAAAACTACATTAATATGGGTTCAAAAATAATTTAGAAAATCTGAAGCTGAACCATAACCACCCTCAGTAACTCTTCTTATGAAAGGAATATTTAGGTCCATGTGTGGAATGAAATAAGATTTTGTTCTGAATAAGGGCCAAAACATAACTACTTCTGAATATGGACCAAAACATAACAATCTGACAAAGTGGGGCGGGGGAGAAGAAGGGAAATATGCCACACTAGGATGTCAGGGCATCTGAGAATAAGGAAGGGAAGGGGATGAGAAAAGTACACTGAGTACTTCACATTCCTTCATATTTTGTTTTGGCCAAAGCTGAGAACACTAACATTCCATATTTTTTTGTGCTGAACAAATCACTGGCCATACCAACTAAGGATGATGGAACTAGTATTACAGAGGACAAGGCATACAGAGCATGCCAAGCTAACTTACTCCTAGGTAATCTACACTGTAGTTTTAAAAAGTTGTTGAAAAAGTAATCTTAAAACTGTATTACTTTTTTTTCCATTTCATTTCAGTGCCCACTAAATTGTAGACATTTAGCAAAATGAAAACACGCCCAGCTTTTTTTGCCACATACCACTGAAATGCGTTGTAATGGAAGTAGACCAAGCCAAGGCCATACAAAAAGGCAGCATTCTGTAAAAAAAAAAGAAACACTTTTTAGGAATTGATTAGAGTTTTCAATTTTTTAGAAAAATTTCAGGGTATGTTATTACTCAAGTAAATTTAATTGTAGCAAGGGGGGGGGACCTATAACCGACAATTCTGAAATGTAATACTCATGAAAATAAGGCAACTAAATATATTATTTTTTTTACTATTGCTATTAATTACAATAAAAAGGCAGATAAAAGAATGGTCAAATAATGCAGGTTTTAAATTTTGGGATGTAAGAGAAAATTATTCCCCAGATAAGCTTTTTCTTTTTTTCAGTTTCCGAGTAATCTCCATTCAGGTCAGCAGAACATTAAGAAATCAGACTATAATGAAAAGAGAAAAAGAAAAAAGGAGGACAAGCTATGTCAAGATATAATCAGTAAGGGTAGAAGCAGCTTTATATTTCAGACTATACACTTAGTTCCAAATAAATCCTGAAGTCCCAATATTCTCAAGAGAGAATACCCAATGACTCCAACAAAGACCTCAAACTTAGCACCAATGAGCTGCAACAAGTAGCTCTGTTTTCCGTCCTTTCCCACTATAAGAAATGTTCATAAAGAATTCTGAAACCATTCCCTAACAAAAACCTTCAAGCTTATTATCTTGTCAGCCTTTGGCTTTGGACCCTAATGACACACTGAAATACAATGAAATGGTCAATCCTGGCCATTGTTTCCATGAAAATGAGACAGCAACAACAAGCCAAGAAAAACAAAATAGAAAGGAATTAATTTAGGGATTATAAATCCTTGAAAGGCTCTGATTCTGGGCTTCCTATCCCTAGACTCAGACAATTATGAGATGAGCTCATGAAAAATAATATGGGGGACTTGGGAAAATGAACTTGTGAAAAAAATTAAACACAATTTTACACTGATTCAGATTTGACAGTAGGGAACAAGCAGATTTACTTAAATTTAGACTAAACATTTAAATCAAACTGGTTTACCAATTCCAGAAAGTTTTCACCATGTTAGCATTATAATTTCCATGTTGTAAATAACAATAGCATTCCAACAAATAATACTATGCCAGAAATTTATTGAACATGGCTATCACACTGCCTGCAAAATCTTTTTTACACAATAAATCAAACAATTTTCCAGCTATCGACCTGTCAGTGAGTTAAGAACAAAGAAAAAAATTTAGCAATCTGAGTACATGGCTTTGTTACACTATGATTTCTTGCTTGCTTGAACATGCTAAATGTTTTCTGTGCTGTAGTATTTTCTACATTCTTCCTTCCCATTCTCTTCTGGTGTGCATTAGCTATATTTGCTAGTTTTTAGGAATGGGGAAGAGGGAAGTTGAAAGATCACACAACTTTAATATAAATACTTTTGCAATATCCAACTCCAAATGCAAAGTATCCATATTTGATCCTGCTACCACAAAACAGAAATAGACTGCCTGTTCCGTACATTATGTTATAGCTTACTGAATAACCTATTAGCTTCATACAGTATAAGCCATAATTTTACAAATCACAATGGTTAGATTTACACATTATGGTGCAGCAGAATGTGTGAATTCTCTCACTATTAAATAATGGTAAGAGTTCTACTCCAGGGCTAGGCAAAGTTACAGAATCTACTTTTCAAATACCAAAATTTGTCAAGTTGAGTAGCGCAAAACACACATTCAAATCATGTGTGGGGCTCAATTTGGGTAAAGAACAAGGGGTATATGTTGGCCCTGCCCCTTTCCCTGACGTCTACACTTTCAGCTGAAGATCTCAAGGGAAGTTACATCTTCTTTGACTTGAATGAATATAACTTCCCATGTTATCAGGGATTCTGTCTGACATCAGAAGAAAGCACTTTTGGAACTTTGTGAAAAACAGAAAATATTTTGTGATGACCACAGTGATCAAGAATATATTGATATATCTTTCAGATGAAACCACTGAAACATAAATCTCTTTTATCCATCACACAGGCATTCTAAAGGATTTATTTAGCTTAGATTTATACTTTTCCTTCTTTAAAAGAGGACCTTTTCCTTCCCTTTCAATGAAATTCTGTCAGCAGGTCCCTAAAAGCAATATTCAGCAAGCTGACTTAAAAGCCAGTTTGACTTTCCCTCCCTTCATCCAGAAGTTCCTACTACTTTGGTGGTCACAACATGCAGTTCCAGTTGAATGATTACCAATGAGGAATGTGAAGGAAAAAAGGACCAAGGTCAGACACAAAGAGCTTAAGAGGTCAGACACAAAGACGTTAAGACCAAAAAGGTCAACTATATGAACAGTGCACAGATAACAGCAATGCCTCTCCCCACCCCCATAGAAGCAGCCATTAGGATGCACAAGCAGGTGGAAAAAGACATTAACATATGGACCTGGTGAAATGGATGTGAGAGGTGTGTGTATTTAAGATTTATAGATGGTAGTTGCTGGTTTTCTTCTCTAATCATGGCTTTTTAGTATCTGTATAACTTATCAAAGAACTATGTCCTTGAACCTGTGCCTGTTAACCTTTGAGTATGAGCACTGGTCTCAGTGAAGCCTAACACAGAGTTTACTAAGAAGACTTCTGGAGCCCACCCTTCATGTCCTGAGAAACACCATCCCCTCAAGTTTATGGCAACAACTTTTTCTTTACTTTGTCAATATAAATCACCTCAGAATAGAAAATAGAAGATTTTTTCTTTGGTGGTGGGAGAAGAGAACAATCTCTTTAACTATGGATAATAATTCAATTTACCAATTTTAAAAAAGCTAGTGTGAGCTTATTCATTTGATTTATACCCCACCTTTTCTCCATAATCCTCAATGTGGCATACATTGCATTCTCCTTTCCAATTTTCCCCCCAAAAACCCCTGAGAAGTAGATTGACCTGACATAGAAGTGCTTGCCACTACTGTCCATGACCACCAAGGAAAAAGAATCTGAGGTGGACTGTTGCCATGTCTGAACAGTCTGACATGGTTTTTATATGGTTGGTAAGGTAGACAACTGGCTATGATATCAGGAAAGGCAACTCTTCTTAATGCCTCTCTGGAACAAAGTTTTAATATAACTCTGCTTAAGGTTTGGGAAAACCTACTGAATCTTGGGAAGCACATCTTCAATCTGTCTGAGTTACTACAACATAGTCTTATAGGCTAATGCTCTCTACACTGTAGTCTGGCTAAAAGTCCCACACCACCTTCTTCCTCTAAATATTTCTCTTAGATGGTAATGAAGTTTTTTAAAAGCCTAACTATCAAAAGGAATGGATGGGGCAGCAATGTATAAAATTCAACAAAATAATAGCAAAGACCTTTTTTGTGCTGTTCTGATTTTACAGATATTCAATTTTTCATAGATTGGAGACTGACATTTCATTAAGATTTGTGTATGTAGTTCACTTTGAACTGTGTGCATGCAAAATGACTTATGAAAAGTAATATTTAGTACTGGTGTATTTCAATAATCTTCAGATAAACAAATGAAAAGAATTATTTAGCTTTCTAAATGTACAGTGTTCTTCAGAAATTCCTGCAAGTATTTTAGAATATGCTTCCTTCTAGCTCTATAAACCTAGGTGTCTGAAACATCTCCTAAGGTTACAGAGCTATAAGGATGCACGTTCTAAAAATAACTTTTAAATCACAGCTAGAGTCCCAACTTGAGGGTTAAGGGAGACTGACAGGCACTACATACAGTTTCTGTGAGCCTAAGTTCCATTTGAGCAATTCATTTCAAATGTTACCATACCTGTCTTGACCATTTCTAATCTGATGAAATAAATAGAATGAGCATGTTCAACCTTTTCCATTCTACTCAAGAGTATTTATATTGCAGACTTCCTGTTTGAGATGCCACGGTGAGTGCATGTCTCTTATCTCTCTCCTGATAAAAAAGCTTTCAAACTTCTGTATTATTGGACTGTGTGGATAAGGACTTTCATCATTTGGTAAATAAAACTTTTTATTACACATTATTTTGTTTTTAACAAGCTATTGGAATGCAACTAGACCTAAGCATTCAACAACTGGCTCAATTTCAACTACACCACTATCTGCCGAGCCAGGCAAAATGGCAGAGGAAGATTCTTCTGCTACTTTACTAAAAGAGATCCTGGTTCAGGTACAACTCTTGAAGCTGATCCAACAAGATCTGGCAAAGCTTAAATGTGGTTTAAAATTGATGCAAGAAAAAATGGCTCGCTATGAGGATCATTTAAATGCCCATGAGCCAATCATATTTTGGATAAATGAATTACTTATCTGGAGTCACAATTATGTACAAAAAACCTACATGATTGGTACTGAAAATACTGCAAGTCAATCAAACCTGGCCAAAATTATGGAAGATTTTTTCAGAAAGTTCCTTTTTTTTGAGAACAGGCTTATTATTCGAGACTGATCATGTGACTAAAATTCCTTTAATGAGAAGGAAGACTGGAACTAGTTCCAATATTATTATTGTGCAATTCCTCTGTGTTACCACAAAAGATGAGATTTTACATATATTTCACCAGGAATCAGTAAAGTCTCCTTTGAAGTGGGGCTCTAGTTAAAGCAAGATATCAATTTATCCTGATTTTACTAAAGAGGTTTCAAAAAATAGAAAGATGTTTACAAAAGCTTGTCTTGCCAGATCAATACAACTTCAATATTTCATGCAGTTTCCAGCTCCGTTTTGTATTAATCATCAAGATCAAATTCACAAATTTGATAATCCCTTGAATGCAGAGGCCTTTATTCTATCTTTAAAGTCTGCAGATGGACAAGCCTGATTCTGTTTCATTCTATGGAATCTGCCATGGGAGAAGTCAGTTTGCCTACAGTAAAAGCCTCAGTTTAAAAGTCTACGTGCCAGTATTTTTTTTCTGTACTGCTATTGGTGTTTGTTTTTGTTATTTAAAGATAAGGGGTCTGGGCATACTGCCAACTCTTATTGTTTATTTTTTAACACAGAGTACTTTCCCCCCCCTTCAATTAGTAACGTGTGAAAAACGTTCCGTAATTTTCAATGTAAGAAGAGAGA